CTGCCTCCTCCTGCCGCCCCTGCTCTGCTGCTGAAAACTGCCCCCGGCGAGCAGCCCTGGAGTCGGGTCAGAGCATGGGGTGGGTTTCCCCATTGCGCTCCCCGAGAGCTGCTGTGCTTTAACATACATCGTGCTAAGCACTTTGCGTGTTTGGGTGTATGTTAATAGAGTGCTATGCTGCTTTCATTTTATACGCTTTACAATGCGCACCATACATATATATATCCTACACATACACCCACTTTTTTTTTTTTTTTGATTCAATCTGCTATAAAGCTGTGACTTTTGTCCTGTCAATAAGGTAGGGCAGCATAGTGCTCTTAAAGTTTTGTATGAGTTTTTTCAGAGAACTGCTCTTTGTCCCGTTGAAATTCAGGTGCTTGGCTTATGCTCTGATAACATTTATGTCCTTCAAAAAAAAAAAAAAAAAGAGGTTTTGTAGTCTTTAAACAAAAATAGATCTGTGTTCTGCCATACTTCAGATTGGGTAGGAGGAACAATACAGTTGGGTGCATTGGAGCACAGTCTGCTTTTTAGCTGTTTTTGCAACTGTACGTCTAAAGTCGTGCAATATCTTCCTGACACAGTGTAGGTTACTCACAGAAAGCCACTGAGGAGCGAGTGCTGTTTTTAAGAGTGCACAGGGTGGTGAAAGGTCGCACTGAAGAGCTGTTGCAAGCTCAAGCTTCCTGTTGTGAGTATGCAAGCTTCCTGCAACCCAGCAAGTGCAGCGTAGTTACTGACACAAGGAACTATAAGTGAAATTAGAAATTAGTACCTGTTAGGGAATGATGGTTGATGGATTGCGTGCCTGTGACGAGTGGAGCGTTGCTGGGCTGAGCGCTGGGACCTTTCCTCTCTAATGCCAGGACATGGAGGAGGTGGCGGCCTCCTCTGTGTTCAGGTTTGCAGGTGACGAAGTAGGGGCGCAGCTGATGTGCTGGAGCACCCGGCTGCCATCCAAGGAGGCCCAGGCAGGCTGGAGAAATGGGCTGTCAGGAGCCTTATGAAACTCAGCAAGCACAAATGCAAAGTCCTGCGCCCGAGAAGGAAGAAGCCTCTGCAGATGTGCAGGCTGCCTGGCTGGCAGGAGAGCAGCTCTGCCGAGAGGTGCTGGGACTCCCCGTGGGCAGCATGCTGAACCAAAGGTGTGCATCCACCAGCGGCATCCTGGGCAGTGTGAGCAGGGAAGTACCTGTGCTCCTTGGCTCTTGAGACTGCTCCTAGTGGTCTGTGCTACTCAGGGCCCCTCCAGTACAAGGAAGATGTTGATACACTGGAGTGAATTAGATGGAAGGCCACTGAGTGGAGATCAGGGGAGTAGGGACCGCTGAGTGGTGACCTAGCAGCAGCTTCCCGTAGGTGCGAGGAAGACGGAGCCAGGCTCCTCACAGCGCTCCATGGCAGGAGGAAGACAGACAAGACTGGTGACTGAACACAGGGAAAGCACTTTTCACCATGATGATGGTCAGGCAGTGGGACAGGTTACCAGAGAGGTCATGCAGTCTCTGTTCTTGGAGAAAGTTCAGTATTCAGCTGGATAAAGTGCTGAGCAGTCACGTTTGACCTCAGGGCTGACCCTGCTTTGAACTGGGCGTTGAACTAGAAACTTCCAAGCCAAATTATTCTCTTAATCATGATTCTACGTGCTAATTTAAAATAATAGTTTATTGAACCCAGAGATTATGTTACTATGGATGTTTATAGGTTATCTGAGTTATTTATTCATGCTAAAATATTTAGTAATAGTCCTAAGCTTGCAAGCCTCAGGTTTAGCCGTCATAAAATACTTCATGACAGACTGTAAGAATTTACTTAGTGATGTACATCATTGCAGTTACTCCAGCTTTGGGCATGCTATGAACAGCTTTGTATTGTAAAAATATCCCAAAACTACTGGATCCGTGTGGCTAGCTCAGTAAAAGATTAAGAAGTTAGAAGAATGGCATAGGAAATGTTTTTATTATTTGGGATAGGCAATCTTAACTGGCCAGTTTCTGTACTTCCGCAAAAGAGTTTTTCACTTTGCTATATTTTTTTCCGTGTTTCTACATTACATCTCTTAAGTTACAGGAAGAGTTGGTCTTTTGGTAGATATATATGCATCTTGAAGCTTCTTTCTCACCGTGGATGAGAGTTCAGCTCATAAGCTGTACTTTGAAAGTGAAATAAGTATATACTGTAGATTTTCCAAATATTCTTTCTTTGTGCAAGTTAAAAAATAGTTTTAGGTGATTGAAATAAAAGACCACTTATCTGGTCAAATTAAAAATACTATTGCCAAGAACATTTCATTTTAAACAGGGAAACTTTAAAATATATTATAGGAGTATTAATTTTTAATTATATATTTTCAGGATAGATGTATCTGGAGGGAGAAAAAGGACTAACATTTTTGTAACTTTTACTTACATGTAAGACAGTTGATTCTTTTGACTTTTTTTTTAAACTTGTGTGTTTTATAGTTTTGTGCATGTGAGATATATTGTAGACATTAGAATATATCACATTCACATATTCATGACCGCACAAAACTTTTTTTAATCCTGTATTGATATGGAAATTATTTTAAAAATTTAAGTATTGGGCCGTTCTTAAGTCAAGGTGTCATTGTCTGTGTCAACTGTGATCAGTTATTGCCACTTTTTCTGCTTGCTTTTCAGGATTTGTTTGGTGTGAGTATGGTTGTTCCTTTACTGAACCTGCACATCAAATCACTAGGGGCAAGTCCTACAGTTGCTGGAATAATAGGTAAGTTGCAAGCCTTATTTTGATTGCGAAGAATAAGATAATGTGTACTGAAATCTGCATTAGTGGAAACTGGATATTGTAGAAGTATTCTTCTTTGGCAGTAGCGTAATAAAAGTCATGACAAATTTCAAAGCATAGAAACAACCATGCTGTTTTAGGCAAAAAAACACAGATACCTGAGAAAAAAGCTTGTAATGATACTTTCAGAGATGTTTTCCTAGTATCTAAAAATTCCCATCTTAGCAATTTTCGAAGCCAGAAGTGTTTTATTGCTATTTACTCACTTTGCAAACAGTAGTTTCTGCAGCCATTTCTATTGCTCTTGATTGCTCCAATTTTAATTAAATTCATTGGAGCTGCCTTTTGGCAAAACCTTTATCATATTTAAAGAGTGTTTGCAAGTCAATTCTGAAGGTTTTGGATTTTGACTTACAATATGAAGTGGTGAGATAAAGCTCTGTGATTCCAAAGTGGTCATTTATATCTCACAATATGGTTTATGGTTCATACTGAAAGTGTGTTTTTTATAACTGTGTGTGGTTGACTTAGGATCTCTTGTTCAGTTTTTTTTTTTATTACTCTGCTTTTTTATTTTGTATGAAATCTAGCACTTTTCATGAAATAGTTCCGGTTCTGCTCTGAGCCGACAGAGTGTTATTTTAAGAAGCAATTCATCAAAAATATGTTTTCATTTCAACACCCTGCTTTGATTTAAACTTTAAAAAAATGGGTTTTGAGGTATGCTCTCATGAATGAAAGAGCCTGGCAGATGTTTTTCTGTGCTTCTCTTTTCTTCTATTCTGTCACTAACTGCTGCTAAAGTCGCAGAAATGAAAGTAGGGCCTGTGGTTTCTTCAGGGCTTCTGCGGGCTCCGTTTTAATAGGGAAGTAATTAGTGCCTCCTGATAATGAATTATCTCCTTATTCTGACAAAGCAGTTGTAGATGCCAAAATCAGTTTCATTTAATACACTTTGCAAAGCAACATCGTTTTACACTACATGGTCTGCGGTGTTTCTCTTTCTCATGTCTGAAACTGTTTTGACAGTTTTGTGCAGAACTGTGCATATTTTTTGTTCTACTGTTCTTCCAATGCTTTTACTAAATTATTCCCAAAGCCTCTCTCATGTTTCCTCATTTAAAATTGTATGCAGTTTTCATAAGTAATTCATGCTTAATTCTTACCGTAGGTATATTTCACTTTGTTTTCGTTTTGCTTTTTTAGGCTCTCTCTATGGTGTAATGCAGCTCTTTTCAAGCACATTTGTGGTGAGTTTTAAAACTGTATAATTTTAAAGTATAAAACTGTATAAGTGTATAAGTATGTTGCTATTTCTACGGATTTTTTAATTAAGAAAAAATGAATCTTGAAAATTTCAAAGTCTTTTTAGAGGACCCAATTTTTAGTCTCTGTGGAACTTTTTTTAAGTTATGGGAACCAGTCAAATCCTTCATATCATTGCTAAGTAAGAACAGTCTTCAGACAAAAAGTAGAAACCAGGTTTGGAATCAGTTGTACATTCTGGAGCACATCTCAGTCACGTAGGGTTTTCTTTAACAATATTGCTATTAAAACAGTTTTCTTCCACACTGTAGCCTGTCCAAAATGCAGTCTCACAAGTCAGTTCTTCACAGGCCTGTGTTCTGGAGTTTGCTTTCCCTGTTTAATGAGCGTTTTCTTCTAAGTTGCCTTAATTCAGGCAACATGTTTTCAATCTTTTTTTTTTTTTTTGTTACCTCCTAATCTAAACAAAAGTGCAAAGAGTGGCCGTAAAGGCCAACTTCCTGAATTCAGCCTTTACTGATCAATATCTTAGCTCTGTTTGTATTTTAGTCACTTTTAATTTAACCCTGGTATATCAGCTCTCAAGAAAACAGATTTTGAGCGTCTCCCCAAAAGAGCGTTAGAGGGATTGTTATGCAGATCACCTAAGGTAATTTTCTTCTGTAAGCTCTGTGGCATTTTCTTTGAACTGCAAGACCGTTGCCTGCTTTCCTAAGAAACCTACTTCTTATGTAGAAACCTGCTACAGCAAATCCAGATGATGTATAGATCTGTAGCATGCAGATTTACCGTTGCTCATTCTTATAACTGCTTCCTACTTGTCTGCTATCAGATGACCAGCTCCTTCTAGCTCGGTCTGTTCCTTTTAGGATGCTAAAATAGTGTCTTGTACACAGTGACCACTGTCAGTGTTTGGGTTGTGATAACACTTTCATTTTCCACTACTATTACTATTTCTTGGTGTTTGTCACATGATTGTATTTTTAGAAAGGGAGAAATTAGATGAAGTTTTATCTGTGTGTGACATTAAATAGAAGCCCAGTTTGAGCAGATGCACTGTCCATAGGACAGAACTCCACTCGTCCTTTGCAGACTTTGAGCCTTTAGGAAAGATGTCTGATAAGCTCATTAACTTTTCATTGGCAGCCCTTTGATGGTTATTTTTTCTTGGTTGTATTTAAATGTACAGATTATTCACAGTATTCCCAGTTAAATGTTATAAAAAGCTCTAGTTTTCTCCTTTGCCAAGGGCTGTTGGAGTGATATAGTCGGAAGACGGTACTCCTTGCTTGCTTGCATTCTTCTGAGTGCCCTGGGTTACTTCCTTCTTGGAACATCCACCACCGTATTCCTGTTTGCCATTTCTAGGATCCCTGTAGGTGAGTAAGCGCTTGACATTTGCGACTTTAAATTCCCTTGTAGCCTCAGCATGAGAGTTACTGTTGGAGAAACTGAGGCACGTGGATGGGTAAACAGTGGTACCCTGAATCCCACTAATGGAGAAGTGTCTACAAATCAAACATTCATGCTTTTTTTGTTGATTTTTTTCCTGAAAATAATTTGAAATGTATACTGAAATTGGCACCTTTTTATGCCACTGTCAATAGTTAAGTTATGTAAGAATGTGAATACAGCAGTTCCTTGAAGGAGGCTGACGTAAGGTGCAATTAGACATAAGAGGTACTCAATATGCCTGATCACTGCCAGAAGTATCAGCCTATATTTTCAGCACAAAATGGAAGAACATCTGCTTTTCTCATATTGAAAACCTACTTAGAAGTAGTAATATAAAATTTGGTTTAAACTTTAGGTCGCTACTGCCATAGAATATTTATGTTGTGTAAAAATATACAGGTTTTTGACACTGAAGCTGAGTTTGTGTCAGTGCTCACATTTGAATTTTACAATATAATTATATTGAATTTTATAATATAATTGTCATTTATAGATATAATTTTGCAATAGTTTAAAATCTATTATGATTTCTGATACAATAAGAATTACAGTGAATATGAACCCTCTGTTGATGGTTGCTAAAATGGCCAACAGTTTTGATTTAGGAACTACTATTTCCCTTGGGGTTTTGTTTGTTGTTTCTTAATTTAAATAAAATTTATTAATGAATGATTTGGTTGATAGTTTATTAGGCTGTAGGAGTAATTTTTTTTTTAATGTTAGCAGCAACAGACTGTGAGAATATTGCTTTTGTTAGGAAGGAACATAAATGATTGCATAATTAGTATCCTGCGCTGTGTTTTTGCCACCCACCGATCTCATGTGTATTTGTTGTGTTGCAGTCCTGAAAACGTTCATTTGCAGCAAAGCTGGCACAGGGATATGTTTGTAATCAGACAAGCCATTCTTTTTCTACCACTGTATTCTGTCCTGGGAGTGGGTACTCACAGGGTCCCATATTTTCAACAGTGCTTTATTCCTTATGAGATCCAGCACTTGGAATAGTTATTTATTCCTTCCGCAGGAGCACTCCCTTGACTAAGGTCAATTTTGATTCCAAAGTCCACATTTTTGAATAGCTGGGGAGTGGGCGTGGCTAAATATGCAGTTTATTCAACCTGCCTCCTCCATCACATACTCCTGTATGACTCCAGTATTGAATGATTTATGGTTTATGGAATATTCTAAAATATGAATCATACAGGCTTTGAACGTTGATGTCCCACATAGCTGCTGTCATTTGCTATCTTTCTGGATTGAGCAAGAAATGTTTAATTATTTTATTTTATATTATGTTGCAGGTATTTTCAAACACACACTTTCCATTTCTAAGGCCTTACTTTCTGACTTGGTTTCGGAGCGAGACCGTCCCCTGGTAATAGGACGCTTCAATGCAGTCTCCAGCGTGGGCTTCATACTGGGCCCTGTGGTTGGGGGCTACTTTACAGAGCTGGAAGGTGGCTTTTATAAATCATCTTTCGTCTGTGCCTCTATCTTCATTCTGAATGCTGGTAAGCTGAATGTCATATTTTGCACATCAGGTCCCTTTTCTTTGCACTTTTGGGTATTTATGCCATTTGCAATTGAATTCGCTGGGGTCTTTTAAGAGCTGTGGCATACGTGTTTTATAAAGTGGTAATATACTTTGAATCTGAACCTCTTTGAAAGGGCAGGAATTTTGAAACAGTTAATTTCCAGATGCTTCCTCTTTATTTTGTATATGTGCATGTATGTATATGTATATGTATTACTTTATGTTCAGACACAGGTGTGGCAGGATTTTTGTTTGTTTTGTTGTTGTTTTTGTTGTTTGTTTGTTTGTGCCCAAATATGAAAACAAGAAATCAGATTTTTTTTTCTATGGTTCTTAGAAGAGTTTTTGTTGTGAATGTGTCACCTCAGTGTTCTTCCTTGCTTTCACCACACTAAATTGAACTGATACTGTGAATAACACTAGGCTTTGTGTTATTTTATTTTATTGAAATTAACCTTAAAGTCCTTCTGGCTTTTTTATTTCTACCCTAAGTAAATTGTAACAAACTACTGTTAAAAAGTGTATACCTAACACAATTGGATGAAATTAAGTAATTCCCTTATCCCTTAGGTCTTGTTTGGATGTTACCATGGAGAGAAGAAAACATAAGCAGTAGTGAACATGCCCAGGGAACCAATAGCAACAAAGTCACAGAAAATTTCTCAGCAAAAGCAAATCATGACCGGCGGTTCCAGTCAGTAGCTGCTGGGTCTGTGGCAAGCGACAGTCCCTTCCAGTCTTCATGGATCCAGACTGCAGTGATGCTGAAGAGGATTAAAGGCATTGCGTGCTCTGACTTGTGGGATATATTTCTAGTACGGTTACTGATGTCCATTGCTGTACTGCTCTACTACAGTAACTTTGGTCTGGCCTTGGAAGAGAGGTTTGGGGTGAAACCCAAGTTCACAGGGTACCTAATAAGCTATAGCAGTACTCTCGGAGCCCTGTCTGGTTTTCTGCTTGAACCAATAACAAGGCTCTACCAGCACAACACTTACACAATTTTGTTGCATTCCAGCATTCTTACCTGCACACTGATTCTGCTCTATGCGTCTGCGCTTAACGTATGGACTGTCATTTTGTCTTCCACGTTCCTAGCTTTTTCGACTGCTGTCGGCCGTACTTGCATCACGGACCTTGAACTGAGCCTAGGTGGGAACCAGGCCCGCGGTGCGCTCCTGGGGGCTGGGCAGTCTGTGACGTCCGTGGGGCGGATAGTGGCCCCGCTCCTTTCGGGAATTGCTCAGGAGTTCAGCCCTTGCGGCCCTCCAAGCCTAGGGGTTGGCCTGGCTTTAGTAGCTATTCTGACCATGAACGTGAACAAACCAAAATATGGTGGCATTGGAAATGTTAAGTTGAAAACTCAGTAGCTGCAAGTTTGGATTGAGCGGAGTATCTTAAAGGAAAGGCAAAGGCAGTTAAAGAACCTGGGGTAGTGCTTACACCTGCCAGGTCCATGCGGTACTAACGGGATACTCTAAGGAGGCCCTTGATGTGTAGTAGAGATGAAGACAAGGACATATAAATGTCCTGCAGGGTCGTTACTCTGCCTGGGTCTTTCTGAACTGATGCCACTAGAACCCTTATGTGAGAGAGAGAGAGATTTATATAGTGTTGGTTGTTTTGTTTGTATGTGTTTTTCTGTGTGTTTTTAGGACTTTTAACCTTTTGAGGGGAAAAAAAAGATACGAAATGGGGAAATCCTGTTTGTAACTCACTTTGGAAGCGATGTTTACATCAATAGATTCAAATGTGAAGCAAGTAATTTTTATTATTTAATCAGAGGTGTGTTTTTATTACTTAGTCAGAAGAAGGATTTGCAATATACAACTCGTTAGCCTTTCTTTCTTATGCTGTTGAAAGCCCTTGGTCTGCTGTGGCAGTGGCATAGCTAACGGGATGTTTCGGTATGTGGTGTTGTGAGGCAAACTGTACCTGTCACTGTTGCTGTGCAGCATGATCTGGAACTTCACAGCAGCCCTCTGACCCCAGCACGCTCTTTCCCAGATAACAGGATTGAGTATATGCTAACTTCGTGTATTAGCTGTCCTAAAATAGTTTTAAAATAATACGGGCTCTTCACACAGAAATTGAGCACATGAACTTTATTGCAAGTTGCATTAGTGCTTTCTGTATCAATTATAATTTCTGGACTTTATCATGTTTTTTTCTACTTTCATTTTAAAAATACATTTCCTTTTTAATTTCTTGGATGACTGTTAAGGGTATGGTGGAGCAAAAGGCAGTAGTTTGAAGGGGGTTGTGGGCTAATCTGTTCTCTTTCATCTTTAGAGACATAAATGACATTTTAGAGACAAGAGAAAACTGTTTACGTGTTGGTATTGTAATCATCACTTGTCTGTATGGCCTAACTAATTTTTCTCTGTGGGAAAGGTTACACACAGAGCTACAGTGAGAGTTGCAGCACGGACTGGCTGCTATTTGTTGTTCAGACCCATAGTACTCAGCAGTCATCGCCTTTTGGGGTTTAATTTGAAATGCACAGAAAGTCTGTTTTTCACTAGAACCATCAGTCCCGTCTACTTTCCCTAGCAGTGCTCGATGAATGTAAAAAGACAGCTGTGTGGAATGTTATTTTTTGGTAAAAGCAATGTAGATGTCTCCCTAAAGACCTGTCTGCAAATAATGTTGCTGCTTCAGGAGAGTGATAATTTTGCTGTTTTTCTTCTTTTCCCTTTCAAGAGCATCCGATATAATTAAAGGTCCTTGCTGAAACTCGGTGATTCCAATGGAAGCATCATGAGAATAAATACAAAACTTCCAGTTCTCTTAATTTTGTGTAATAAGATAATTAATGTGTTTCTTATTACTGGTGTCATTTCAGTTCATAGACTCATTTTCTGCGTGATAGGTAGAGCTCACACAGAGGAGTTTCCTATTCCAGTAGTCTGCGTTTCATTTGTCCTTATGAACTTGAGGAATTTTCAGGGTTTTTTATGTGCCCTTACTTTAGTCAGCGGTTGCCTCAAAGCACTCTGTAAAGCACTCTCTGAAAATTTCCTATCCTATTCCTTTCCATTAGCTAAAATAAACATTTTTTTCCTAAAATCATATTTCTCTAAAACAAAGACTTCTAGTTTGTAACTGCAGGAAAAAAAAACACAGATTAATTCTGTATATATGAAAAATGGCAATTTTTGCTATCCGTCTTAGATAACAGATAACATTGACCCTTCTAGAGTCAATGCACCAATTAAAGCTAAATTCTGTAAACACTATAAAATTCAGGATACACTATACAGCAGCCTGAATATTTTTTCTGCATATAAACTTAAGCTTCCCTGGTTTTGTTTATGCACAATTGAAAAATGTGTTATCCACAATAAGTGATTATTTTTGTTTTATGAAGCTATTTTGAAAAATAATTCTATGTATGTTCGTAAATAAAAATGGAATTAAATATCAAATAGTGGGTAAAACTGTGGAAGCCTGTGGTCTCAGGGACATGTTGTAAATGATGTTACTGAAGAAAAATTTTCACTTGTTTGCCAAAATGATTTCTGAAGTGCAATAGAAATGTTTCTTTTTTGTAAAGCTGCAGTTACAAAAAAAAGTTGCACTAAAATTGTTTTTAAGGAATACTAATAAAATGAAATGGTGTTTCACTCCTACGATTTTTTACAGTGTTTTTTACCCTTTTCTCTATTGCAAATATATACGGGTGACCAATTCAATATGTTACTGAAGTGCAGGTTTTTTTGCTTCAGGGAATGCAGTTCCCTAAATGAGTCTTTGAATGCGAATATTTTCATTTAAGAGGCAAAGGAACCTACGAGTCAGGCAAGAAGTGGATTGCCAGGTAAAAAAATAAAAATAACGAAGGTAAGGGAGAACTTAGCACTTTTGGTATGGCACATTAAAGGCAACTGTTGCTGGGGTCTGGAGACGTGTTTGGATCCCGGTGTTGTCTCTTCCCGGCTCCGCAGAGCGATGAGCAGATGCCGGCCTGGCACAGGAGGGAAGTCGCCCCCCTGCAGGGCTCCCTGATGGTGCTCGAGGCCTTGGCGACTCCCTCAGCACCTTACCTCGTCCCACGGTGGGGGCTAAACGCCTTAGCAAAACAGGTTCTGAAGCTGGACTAAAGGAAAATAACGTTTGCACCTGCAAGAGTCCACAAATCAAGACTTTCCCGTGCTTGCTATTACTTATTTTTGAGTTTGTTTTGTAGGACGCCTTTCTACCTTTTGAAAATGCTTTTTTTAGGAGGGGCTACTTTTCTGATCCTTATCAACTGGTGTTTAAGGAGCTGCATATACAATGCACTAATTTCTTTCTATAAAATATAGTTGGTAGCGCATGATGTCTACACATTCTGTAGGGTAATTTCTTCAGATGTTGTTTTTAGATGATTAAACACAAAACTTGTGTTGCGCATTGCTGTATGTTGCATATATTCTACTTCCTAAAGGTGCCATTTCGGCCAAGTTTGTTTTCCTTCCTTGTTTTCTATCCTCTGAATTGACTTCCTGCAGCACCGCTGTACAGGTGAGGGCATTCTCTTTTTTCTGACACTATCTCAGCCTATGAGCAGGAAATGCGGAAACAAAACTGGACAAAACTGCTGCTTATTGCAAACACTTTTTAATACCATTGGCCCACCCACACAGAGCATAGAAACATAACTGTATAAAAACCTCCTTCTAACTGACTGGCACCTCTGTGGATATTACCACTCACTGCCAATCCTTCTATTCAGCTAAGGGTGGAATCCCCTGGATAAATGGATTTATGGATGGATTTATGGAAGTGGATATTTACAGCTTGGCTCTTTAGGGTTTAAAACACCCCAGACTCAACCATGCTGTCACTGCTATAAATTTGCAGGCTTCTTTGCAAAGATCTAATCATGAATCTTTTAAGGGAGTTTGTTGTAGCCTTGAATTTGAATATTTATGAATTTTGAGTGGTCTTCAGATTTCTTTCTTGTAAAATGAAAGTTTGCAGAGCTGTTTCTAGAAGTAAATGTAAACCTGAGCACATTTTAGATCCTGAAACAGTGAGGCTCGACAGAGCTGCCGGTGTTACTATTACTTCCTCTCCTGTCATCTTAATCCCTGCTATTCTGTCACAATTTCATGGTCTAGAGAATCTCTAAACCATGTACAGGAACTGTACCACTGTTTGAGAGAGAAATGCTGCAAACCGACTATCCCATGATGGTGCCCTATGGGAAGCAGTCTCCCACCTGCAGGAGGATTGCTTCTGATGGAGAAAATCCTCAAGTGGAGATGCACAGTATCAAGGGGAAAGAATCTTCAGCCCTAACTTGGAAAACTTCTGAATGCTATGACTACCTCAAGTCTTTTATTTTATTTTATTTTATTTTATTTTATTTTATTTTATTTTATTTTATTTTATTTTATTTTATTTTATTTTATTTTATTTTATTTTATTTTATTTTATTTTATTTTATTTTATTTTATTTTATTTTATTTTATTTTATTTTATTTTATTTTATTTTATTTTATTTTATTTTATTTTATTCTTCTGGTAGTTATCGATTTAACTGGCTGGCTGATAAGTTAGGAAGAAATGAAACTCTTTGACTTGGAAGTGATAAGATAGAGCATGGTGGTTCACACAGATGGGTCTGTCAAGCACAGCCATAGGTTTATCTGGAAAGTGTAAGTTACATCACGGTCTAGTAAGAAGCAGGATAAAAAATGACTTGGCTTTGGACCATTGGTCTTCCCTTCTCTCCTGGAGTTAAGTAGCACCTAAGTCAGATGGGTCAGACAGTCCATAACTTCTCTCCACTATGTTCTTAGCCGTTCCTATTTCTTCTGCTAGGCCTTGACACCTCCTGCTTCGTATTTCATGGGCTGAGCCTCCTGCCCAATGTTGGCCTGGCTGTGGCTGCCTATGGCAGATGGCGTATTTTGAGTATATTCAGAATATTTTTTAAAGGACCAGAGCTCCTGCAGTACAAAAAGCATTCCTCCAGCTAATTTAAAAATTTTTCTTCTATTCAGGAGCCTGGAGATGTTGGCAGAACTTAGACAGCTTTGGAAATTGTGAGTTGTTGAAAAACTTCAGCCTTAAAATGTGACTGAAGCTGGTGAACCTGGCACAACTTGGAAAATCTGGTCCAGCGTACAGTGCGCTTGCTCCCAAAGATCCCAAGATACTCTTCATATCAGCATGTATGTTATTCTGACCAAATTCTCAACTTAGGAGTCATGCAGGGAAAAAAAAAACTTTGCGGCTTCAGCAGGGAAGGATATTCTCAAGTTTCTAAAGTGTTATGCAGCATTATCATCCTCGGTTGAACACCTGTGGTTTGAGGGGAGCTTGTATTATACTTTAATATGAGCAGGACAGCCCTTAAAATTTGATCCCTTATGTCAAATTATTCTTTTCCCAATACCTCCCTAAAACAGGTAACTGGGTGCCTGTCATCTACTCTCTGCCCATGCAATACCTCCACACGACCCTGTTTGCTTTCTATCTATATGTCACTCAGCAACTGGAGGGTGAAAGCACACATTTTCCACCGGCTCATCGCTGAAACTGAGCAGTTGGGCACTGACCTTCTCCCTCAGGGCTGTAAATATCAATACTACAAAGTGTATCAGAGCATCAGGCAATAAAAAATCTCTGTTTGAATTTGGCAAGTTTTGCAGTTGCACAGAAATGTTTTGCGGAAAATGTGAAAATCATGTTAACAGTCACTACATGGTTTTCCCCATCAGATGGTGCTCGAGGACAGATTTATTTGGCTTCTCATTCTCCGACAACCAGAATCTTTCTTCAATGCAAGATTAAGAAAATTCTCCTCTGCAAACTGAAACTAAACTGTCCATTTAGAAAAGTGCTGCTAAACTTGCTGAACTTGCTTTTCCTCTGTAGTAAGAAAAAAAAAAAAAGGTAGGAAGAAACAAGCCTCAGACCCAAACCAGAGCAGAAGTCAGATGAGAGAGGCCAGCTGGGACACAGTGCGAGTTGCCCACTGCTGTCATTGCTACTGAAACCGAGAATGAACATCCAGGAAAGTGGTTCCCAAAGGTGATGGGGATCTCTCCCCATCCATCATAGTGGAAAGGAGCCTGGAAAATATGGTAGGAGCAGGGGTGGGCAAGCAAGAAAGCATTCACATGGGGACAGAGACTCCCAGGACTCTTGTGACTCTGCTTCACAGTGTAATGTGGCTATGGTCTCACCTCAAAGTGCTTTGAAAAAGCAACTTAAGTATTAGCATGTTTTGAAGCACCAAGAGCTTAAGACCAGATTTCATAACAATGTCCTCCAGTTTCACGTGCCTGGACTGTGGGACATACACTTTAAAAAGCAGTGATCTGAGTATGCACGATTCCAGCAGAGAGCAAATAAAACTATAAGGTTCCTGCAGTCATTATTTAAAGCTGTGCCAATGAAACTGACCATTATTTGAAAAAATAAATAAAAGGCCCCTTCTCCAGATACAGGCCATTTGCTTGGGCATTCCAGGCTAGGAAAGAGAAAGCTTCTCAGAGACTAAAATAATTGTTGATGTGCAAAGTTTGGGGTCTACTTAATGGCCACTGATATAAAATTGCTAATCTAAGGAATTTGATCTGCAAGGAGTACCTGGTTTCAAAACGGAAATCCAAACTTAACGGTTTCTTTCTTATTCAAACATGATCATGATAAAGCATGACAGAGTATTCATGTCTGGTTTTGCTAATGAAATGTATGTTTTCCTTTGTTTTTAAAATTTACTGAGTTTGAACCAGTTTTGTTTCCAAACAGGAGATGATTATTCATAGATATCTAAGTATTGTCATGGTTCTTCCACAAAAAGAATCAGTTTACTACAGAGACGCTGCCTCAGCGTGAACATTTGACTGAGATTTTCTAGGATTCATATAGCCATCTCTCTGAAGCTTAGAATTTGTATTTCAACTACAGCAGAAATTTGCATAGCTTGAACACAGGAGAAAGACTAAAGCACCTGCACTGATAAAAGAGTTTCGAGAAGTTTGACATTTCAAATAAATAAATAAAATTAATATTACTGAACAGTTCTTTAATGAGTGAAAGACTTAATCCCTATTTATAAAACTCAACCCCATCCCCAAACCTCTGAAAGAGTTCTACTTCATGATTTAAACGGAATAGCCAATTTTAATAGTCTTTTAATAGTTCTTCCAAAACAAGCTTGAATAAAAAAAACTTATTGCCCACTGATACTGATTCAGAAATGTGCTAATCAAAAAGGAAAGTTATGATTTTCACAGTGTACATTCTTAAATGAAAGTTATGAATCTTGTTACAAATAGAATGAAAATGATTTGTGCTGAAGTGCAAAAGTTCTGAAGCAAGCTCAAAACCCAGGAAAGGCTAAGTGGGACAGAAAGTGCAAATTCCTGAGAGCTACAGTTAAGTACCATTTATTTTAAAGCACCCTCCCTTCCCATATGCAGACAAATAACAGACATTTACACTAGGATGAAGAAAATCTGTGTTTCTTACGAGTGCTATTAAGGTGCACAGTGACTTCAACCGACTCCAGAGCCCCATTGTGCTACTTTTCTGTACAAACAAATCAGGAGGAATATTTTCATTCCAGGGAGTGTATAGCCCAGACAAAGAAAAGATTATCTTTCCCATTTATAGAGGAGAAAGAAAAGAAAAAGGCAAATGAGCAGACCAGATTCACAAGCATAAGGTGAACTAGCTTTCTTGAATCTCAATAGTCAGCGATGCAACCAGGAAACTCTGCTCGCTTTGTCTATGTGCAGCGCTCCACAGCCATTTTACTGCTGTGTTTGCACTGCGCCTGAGGAACTAAGGTGCAAAAGGCAATTTTAAATAAGAACATTATTTACTGGCTTAAAGCTTTCCTTTTTAGGGCTTCTGGTGTAGTGCTACGTGCTCTCATTGGCATTAATAAAAGTCAAAGTCACTCAGATTTTTCTTGGTGATCCTCAGTACCTTTCAAAGGTACACATTGCCAGAAATTCAGGAAGTAAAAATTCAAGGTATTCAGGTCTTGTCTCTATTGCAACTTTTCTCTATAAACTGTATTTGCAGTTTTGCTCCTACAGCTTATTCCTTTTCTTCTTAAGTAAGAAGATACTATCTTTCTGTGTCCCAGCTCTTCAAATTCAACTTCACAAATACATTTAGTCTTCTTACAAAGTCTGTATGATAGGTGCATTGTGCAATTTTCAGTGTTACTCTTACTAAAGCTCTGGTCAAAACAAGTATAATTTGATCATAAATAAAATCTGAAATTATATAGATTTTTTAAAAAATATATTCCCTTCATCACTAGAGTTTAAACAATTGTTTTCAACAGATAATTGGATCGTGAACTGGATGACTTCATTCCAGAAAAGATGATATGATAAGGCACATTTCCATCCTATCTTAATAGTGAAAATAAAATAATTAAATCATTGCTATAAGTTATTTATAAAAGAGATCTTTGCTTTATGTCTTCAGGTTTGCGATCGTTCCAGTATTCCATTCATTTAGTTAATGTCATCGGTTCTATCCAAGGGAAACACTTATATCCTCATTGAGTTTGTTTTGTTTTACTAGATCCCATTGCTTGATGAGATGCTTTAGAATCCTAATTCTTTCTGTCCACGACTTCTTACTGATAGCTCTATCATGGCTATGTTCAGTAGGGCTGGTTCTCAGGCTTGTTTCTCTGCCTCTCCCCCTGTGACGCCTGCCTGACTAATCGTGGTGGTGGCATAGGTCTTGTTGACCTATGGTCTGTAGACAAATCTTCCCCGGTCAATGTGCCAAATCTTGGTCTCGTCAGCAGTGGTTGCCTGAACCCAACGGATGGCTGAGGTTGGCTGCTCGGCTCCTGGCTCGTTCCTCCTCCATCCTGTTTCCCATCAACTTCATTCTTCCACTCCATCCTAAACTCAGGCAGTGGCCTCTGCTGTTTCTGTCTCTGGTCTCTCAAAATTTTCCCTGCTCTGGGTCTTAAATTGAGCACTGTGGTAGAAGCATCCATTTCAGAGTCACTGCTGTCTCCCACTGTTATTTAAAACAAAATTTGAATTTTAGGTACAGAATATTGCTGTTTCAGGAATACTACAATAACAGCATACTGAACAGTAGTAGCCAAACAAAACTAAAATGCTTACTGTGTTTCCGACATTCAGTCTTTTCTGGCTGGACTCAGTAACAAATACTTACCCTGTAGTGTTGGAGGACAGATTTGACTTACCCTATTCTCCCCCCGACCTCCTATCCCCCGCAAAAAAAAAAAAAAAGGCTTTTAAAAACTTCCCACTCATCTGCCACCCTGTTTTCTGGTGACATTTCCCAAGCTCTTCTGTTCTGTCTCTGGGCACAAAAAACCTGACTCCGTCTTGGCTACCTGGGGTCTAGCCAATGAAGCAGGACACAGAAATTAGATGTTCCACTTCCATAAGAGGCCTAATCTGAGAGGCATTTGCCGAGCACTGGATACTACAAGGGAGGCCAGGAATTTTGCTTAGGAAAAAGAACTTCAATTTCCTGCCAACGGGTCTCCGAAAGGATAATGCACGGATGGATGGAAACATCCAATCTTCAATACACCTGCATGTAAGTTTTCAAAGAAATCTGTAGGACAGGTCCCACAAGTTGCAAGTGCTGCAGATGCCTTCACTCCTCCCCAGCAGAACAGAAAGTGCCCAAGGGAAAGTCGGCTTTACCACTCAGGGAATAAATTCTTAAAGGATCAGGTAAACTGAGCTGAAACATACTGGGTCAGTAACATACCTAATTAGGTAAAATATCTAATATTCACCAAAACTTGCATGCTTCGGTCACCTAATAATTATCTGAAAAATCATTTATGAATGATACACATTTGTTCTTAGATTTAAGTCAGACATGGTGTTTTAAATGTATCAAAGTAACAAATTATAGATTGTGTTGTGTCATAACAAGAAATTCCATGAATAAGCTACATGTTATTTGTTTTAAAAAGATGAGGAAGGGATCAACAAAACATATCATCATATTCATTCACCCAGATAATTTTATATCAAGAAAGCTCCTCTTCAGACTGTGTTGGCAGGCTTTTTTTTTCCTAAATATGTCAAATAGTATATTTTTTTGACAATTGCATAATCTAGAGGCACATTTGCATTTTCATATTTAATTCTAGATGACAGTAGATGACCTCTGTAGACATAGCTAAAAAATAGAAGGCATCCTATATTCAGGAGAACAAAGATGCAACTATCAACAGACAAGGGCACAACCTCTTCCGAATTAATTTGAAAGAGGCCAGCTAATAGGGGGCTGAGGGGAAGAGGGGCAGAAAAATTAAGAACTATTGATTGAGTAGAGTTTTAATATTTCCAGAAGGAGGAGATCTTCGTTGTTATGTGGCATGAAAGGGAATGATCATGAGCATGGTACAAGCAAGCTTGGTAATACAAATGGTAATAAGTAAAAATAATGCATAGTATTAGTCAGAGTTTTCATATAATATATTTTTCTTTCTTCATAAATGTTTTTTTTTTTATAAAACTCAAGATCTCCAAAAAGTTTAGACAGAAGTTTAGACAGAGTTTAGACAGAAAAAAGAAAGTTCTAATTTTTAGCATTCTGAGAAGATCTTCCTGAGGTCTACAGATCAGAGATCACTTTCTCATTCACCCGTCTGGTGAAAAAGCAGAATCGCAGTGTCATAACCCAAGAAAGAGATCTGAAAATTATATGAGAAAGAAAGGGAGCAGGGACCATAGCAGCATTACTGGTGCAAAAGTGTTTCAGTTGTTCACATGAGGGGGTATTGGTGTGTGGGCTACGCTATTGAGGCATTCGAACTGCAAAACTATTGTGCTTGCTGGGGCATTTCTCTACACTAAAATAGCTGTTAGGCCCAGTCACTTGAACATTCTGTAACCCCTGTTAAATATCCAACACCTAGAAATATGCTAAGAATGCATTACTCTAGAATGTGTGCTTGCGCATAAAATGGTTAATATTTATTTGAAAATTAATATGCTGATTTCTCCACATTATCCCTGGAAAAGCTTTTCAGCTGCATAAGCAAAATGAGCAGCAGCAGAGTAAGAGAGAGCAGAAAAATTTCCATTACCTTTAGAAGATGTTTTATTTCTTACTCGTAGTTTCTCTGGAAGTTTAGTGTTTTTGGGAAGTGAGAGAAACCTTTTTGTATTTGCAGCAGCCTGTACAAATAAATATGAGAAAAGTTAAGTTAAAGCAGACTGGAGTACCTACGAAATGAATGTTATGATACACCACAGAGGCTTGAAAGGGATTATGTAACCAAAGCTAGAGACTAGTCTGGGATTATCTAATGTGTTATCTTTTACTACATAGTCAATGCCTTTGTGCTGGTTGAGATCTATGCTAAGGGCAAGACAAAGAATAAATACAAATAAAAAAAATAACATTCTACATAGTTGACTCATACCAGAACAACCTGACTTGGACAGTTTTTTGGGGGGCGTAGGCAAACACTGCATCTTTCTCCATAACTCTAGTGTGGAGCCTTATTAGTGAGTTGCCAAAATCAGCTTGAGACTGAAGCTTGAGCATGAGAACAAAACTACATTCTATCCTGAAAGTGCTTAATACACTTAAATGACATTATGATGGGAGACTAGCCACACTGAAGCTGCTGATAAAGGTGAGCACCAGTGTGATAGCAGGTTCAGGATATGTTAGTCTAGGTTCCTAGTGACTCTTAAGAGCCCAGAGTGCAGAGCACACCTCATACGTCCTGCAGCATAGGAGGCACATTTTTTTAAGTTCATAAATTTCTCAAGGGTAACCTCTCTTTTAATTATTACAAATATTAAAAAAAAAAACACCTTTACAGTCAACCAGCTCTCCTGTGCTTGTTCCATTTGCTGTTGCACATTCAAAGGGAACATGAAAGAAAAATCCATTTTCCATGAGTTGTTTTCCCTCTTTGGATATGGTAGGGCTACTCAGCATCACTATGGATTCATTTAAGGGTCATTATTTTTAAGATCTATGCAATCTAAAAACCTATTTCTTTCCCTGCCCACTAAATACTTAAATCCTGCAAAGTCTCTTCATTGCTGTACCTAGTAAATCATTGATTAGCATGACAAAGAAAACATGGATCTGTGGCTGATAAGGAAAAAGTCATTCAGGAAGAGGGATGTTGTTGAAGTAAATGCCAGAGTAGCTCAGGTAATGATCACAGACGAGATACAGTGTTTACAGGAGTTCCAGTCCAGTTCCAGTCTCAGCTGTCAAAGGACAACTATATCCATGAAGATAGCAGTCAGTAAGGAATCTTGCAACATGGAAATACATATTTATAAGATGGTTAATTTCCCTGTCACCTGAAACAGAAAGATGATTTGGGAGCTCAACCTCTCCGCTGTCTACATCCTCATGTTCCTTCGAGTATGGTCTGAGCTTTACAATAATGGTAAAATAGGATTGCTTCAGACCACCAAATCTCATCATGCCGTGAAATTTCTTGGAAAAAAAAAAAGTTTTCCTATTCTGTGTCAGAACCTGAAGCTCTGACTACATTTTATGGATACTAAAGAGCATTTTAAAAATGCTCTGACATTTTTTAAATGAAGTGCTCACCCTGTCTTCCTCAAAAATGCTTTTCTTTTGCATATTTTGGAGCACTTCATTTATCTCAATGTCATTTTCTACCTCAGTCATACAAACCCCATCAAAATAGTGATACAGAATTCTGCTCAGATCTCCCAGATACACTGTGCATGGAGTTTGTTCCACTCCTCCAAGCTAAAATAATGGCAGAAAACCCAGTTCCTACATCTCAGCAAAGACTGGAGCTTTGCTGAAGGGGTCAACACAAATCAGGAGTGGATGTGTGCAACTCAGGATACAAGTATGACATGTTTGTGTGGTTATCTTCCAAATTCAGAATTTATGTTTCTACATTTCAGAAGATTTTTTTTGACATAACATTTAGCTAGAGAGCTACTTTGTATAAACAAACCGAAGTGCAAGTACCGGTCTTTCTCTTGACAGGCTGTTAGTTTTCCTCAAGCTCTCCCTAAGGCTGTGCCGTCGACGGATCAGAATTTCTTTGGCCTGCTTTTCACTCGCATCTGCAGCCAGGCTATGTCGGTTATATGACATTGTCTGAAATATAAAGGCAGTGGTTACATTCCAAAAAGCACAATGTCAAATGCATTGAACTATATAAACTGATCAAAACAGGCTTTTTGCTTTAATGGTTTAATAGGCATCATAAATCTTGCAAACAAAATCATACTAAAGAAGATTAAGAACAAGGATAGCAATTATGCCAGCATCTTTTTTTAGTCATCTGCTTCACCAGCACTTTTTTTTTCTAATGCTGCTATTCATAATGGAAGAGAAATTGGAAAAAGTTGGCTTGATACAGAATTTACCCCAGCCTTGCACCAACTCAGTCAATACATCAATAGAAGATGCATATTTGTAAGCGATAAGATCAGTCACACAGGGGAGAAGTCATTTTTACCTCCAGCAAACTGAAGCAAACTCCACTTTTGAATGTTTTCCAAAGATGCAGACCTTCAAAATGCAGACCTTCAAAATGCTTAGCCACAGGAGGGTAAAATGGCCTTTTGCTTTTATTTCACTGTTTTTCCAGCTCACCACCTCTGTTCTTAATATAAGCAACTTCACAACTGGGGGCAAGTGAGAAACCTAATCGCACATCGAGAACTGACTAAAATGCCAATATAAGCGGGACTATGTTGTGGTTCAATCTACACCTATGATCTGCTTCACAGTAAAGTAAGTACATGGCGAGTAAAAAGCATACTATATATAAATACATATATATGTATAAAATGCATATTATGTATTATATAATACATTAAAACACAAACATTTAGTTTTATCAATAGTGTAAGATCGAGTAAACTATTCATGTAAAGGAGTACAGACATGTTGCTGGACATGTTACAGGGAATGGATCCATGGACAATATAGGTCAGAAACAGCTCCATTTTTTTGCTGTTGCACAGCAGACACAGAACTAGCAAAAAGATACACTATAAAAGTAATCAGTACACTCAAAGATAATTAACTATGTAAAAATTTTATCCTTACTCGATGTCGTATTTGGTAGAGATTCTTTGTTAATATTTCCCGCATGTTTTCCATTTCAGTGGGAGAAAGTGGCTTTATTTTTCCTTCATGATATTCACTGTGTCAAAAGGAAAAAAAAGGAGGATATATAGGAAAGAGAGAGAGGATTTTTATATTTTTATATCATTTGGAATTACTTTGGAACTATTATTTCCTTTGTTAGAGCTGGAAAAATTATTTTTAAACCAGCCAAGCAAGATGTAATAATGTAAGGCACAGAAATGAAACCTTGATATCATTTCAGTCACTGGCAACCCTCAAAATTTACTAGAGGTTCTCAAGACTCTATAAAATTTAATATAAATTACATTAAATCATAAATTTGATTAAGGTACTTTTGTAAATGCCCCTCAAGCTTCTCCGGTAGTTATGGTAGTGGATGAGTGGCAGTGGTTCCAACCCAGCTCAGCCCTACATGGCCAAGTAACGCTCCCCACAAGCTGTGTGCCGCCAACCCTATAAACTCAGGCTCTCCGGAAGAGTGGAGTTCACCGAGTGCTTTGTAGGTGCATTGCAAGTGCTCTAGTTTTCTATCTACTCACTTCTTCACATGCCATTAGCATGTGGGGGGCCTCGTCAAAGTAATTACCCTGTGTACAGCCTGGGTACAAGTATCTAACCAGACGTGATGCTCAGCCATGCTGGCCTCACTTCCCTACCTCAGAGACACCGACGACGGGACCTTGCTGATCATCCCACTCTCTGCCATCTCAATGGCATGTTTTATTTCCAGCTTCTTGTATAAAGAAACAATACTGGATTTGGGCTGGTTCTCCCGGATTAGAAGTCTTCTCAGGTATTTATTGTCAAACTTTTTAAACCTGTATATGAGGCAAACCAATCCAGCAAGTTAATTTTTTACTGTGCACAGTTAAGGAAATATACCATCTCTAAAGCAATTGTGAAGGATCTTATTCCCTGGGAATATTTCTACTCATATTAATAACTTACTGGTGAATAACCTATTCAAAAGTCAAGTTCATCTTTCCTGCAGATGATCTTGACCTGTATTTTGTTTAATATGTTAATGGTTGGTATCTCTAGCAGGAACTTTTAGGTACTCCGTGTTATTAAACAATATTGTTTTTAATTCTCCATTTTCATCAAGACAAAGAGAACATTAAATATTTACTGTAAAAACAAATAAAATGTCTAAGTTTGCACCCACTGCTTTTGCTTTGAAATTTTAGCCTGTTCTTGCAAAATCTTGGAAGTTCTCCATTCCTCCAAAACAAATGCAACCCTTCTGGATGCTTAGTGAAATAATATTGATTAGAGATGGGGTGATTTTCTTGGTCAGAAAATATCTTGCCCTATGGTCATCTTGAAGTTATTCTTGAATTTGAGTCAAAAATATTTCTGAAGGTAATGTGGTGGCG